ATATATGCACTCACATATATATACACATATTTACATATTAACACATATGTTTTTATATATGTATACACACAGACACAATTAGAGTATTGTTGAAATATGAATAAAGAAAAGGAAAGAATACATAAATTTGTATTTCTAGGGGAAAAAAGAGAAACCAACAATAAGATACAATCACCATTTTGGTGGGGTTTTTTTGGTCAGTCGTGGGGCTTGAACTCTGGGCTTGGGTACTGTCCCTCCACTCTTCAGCTCAAGGCAAGCACTCTCCTACTTGAGCCACAGCACCACTTCCAGTTTTCTAGTGGTTTATTGGAGACAGGCCCAAAGAAACACAGGTGCCATGGTTTCCCTTATTTGTAATAACTAGTATATGTCTGAGTCAAGCAGAAAAGGTCAGATAAGTTGATGTTAGGGAAATGAACCCTAAGATATGTATTCAAATGGCTTTTTCTTTTATGCGATTGTTTCTAACACATTTATAAGATTATTTCTTTGTTGCTTTGTACGTCCCTCCCCCACGGCATAATCCGTGCTTTCACTGTATTTGATGTCAGAATAATTTGTGGAGGGGAAGAGAAAAAACAAATCATTTAAATAGGGATACAGGTGGACCCATTGCAACAATGAGATGTACAAGTCGTTACGTTGAAAACGAACTTTACAACTTTGGGGGGGGGAGGGTTGGGGGGGGGACGGGCGGGGGGGGGGATGGAAGGGGAAACAAAGGAGGAGGCTACAATGCTTGATAAGAAATGTACTCATTATCTTGCCCATGTAATTGTAACCCTCTGTACAGTATTTTCACAATAAAAAAAAAGTCTCACGAACTTTCCTGCCAGGGCTGGCTTTGAACTGTGATCCTCAGATCTCAGCCACCTGAGCAGCTAGGATTACAGGCATGAGCCACCAGCACCCCAGCAAATCACTATTTTTAAAAGACAAAGATAACAAAGGTGTAAGGGCATCACAAACCATGCAGAGGCAAAGCAATATGGTCTGCTCATTTCTATACTTAGGAAAAATTCCTATTTCATACCTAAAACAGTTAAAGGGCTCAGATATAATAGTGTGATACCTAGATTCTACTTGATTATTGAAAAATGGTAGGATGATGGTGATGATTTTTAAAAAATCCACTCCTCTTGTACATGTGTATTTTTTAGCTCTTGTTAGAAGCCATAGTGAAAGCATTTGTTAGAAGACATAGTAAACTGCAATATACTTAGAGGAAATAAAATAAGTTGACTATTGATAAAATGGCAATTATCTGACTAGTTAAGAAAATAAATGTGATTCAGAGCTTGTTCATTTGGGCATGGAGAATTAACTATAAATGAATAATGTATACAGTGAGTTAAAAGTAAATATTCACCACATTTCCAGACAGCTACTCTGCAGCACACAGATCTTAACATCCTATTAAAATGGAAGCAGAACTGGAAGCAAATCCAATGACATCTGATCGTGCTCTAGAGATGAAGGTCAAAACATTCCTTCTGTATAACTATTCTTTTTTCAATACACACAGCGGACTAAAACAACACCTGCTATTACGTGATGTGTCCAATGGAAAAAAAAACCCTCTCTGTAAGTCTTGCCAAGTATGGGCTATATTAAAAGGAATGGAATTTGATAAGAAATATCCAATTATTAACTCATCCATGCATAAGAAAGCCTGTCAGCCACCAATTCCAACAGACACTATTTTCCAAACACAACAATTTACAAATACATTTAAAACATTAGAGACCCATAACTCAGCATTCCATTTAAAAATAAACAAATATCTTTAGAGTTCCCGAAAGGGTAAGGCTTAAACTATATAGGGCTAGTCTTACATACAGATACACTAGATGCCACAAAGCCTCTCCCAATTCTGCGAATTCTGTGAAAAATGTTTTTAACTTTTAAGATGAATACTTTCACATTCCCATCCAATTCATTATATTTGAGTGTATTGCTGCTAATTTGTCATTTCACAATTTGGCTATCAAAGGCCAGTTTCATATATATGTGTATGTGTATGGTGGTAAAGTATTCTCATTTTCCCTTCAATTGAGATAAGATCTCATGAAAATGATGATAAGATCTTCATGGAAAGAATGTGAGATTTAAGTCTATACTAAACAATGTTCCTCCTTTTTTCCAGTTTAAGAAGACATCATCAATTCCTCCAGTTTCTAAAGAAAACCAGCACATGAGCACTTTCTTCAGAAATGTTGATACAATGAGAAAAGACAACAAGAGTTATATTTGTGCACATATATACATATGGGTGTGTATATAATATAATCTGTGTTTTCTAAGACAACCCTAGTGTACCTGATTACTCCAACAGAGACCTGGGTTGTGAGGACTAAAGATCATATCTCAGAATGAGTCCCAGAAGAATGTGGGGATACAGGTTAAGCAGCCATCAGGAAGTTGGCTCTTTTTTTGTAAATTGTTTAACAGCCAAAAAAAATGATACCAGTGGCAAAGAAAGGAGCCAAAACACATTCCTTTTATGGTGCGACAACATTTTGTGTAAGACTGGCCTCTTTTCTTCTTCTTTTTCTTTTTTAATCAGGCAATGCCTAGGAACCCAGTCCGAGCAGGCTGGGGCAGACAGGGACTTCTGATGAATAAACCATGGCCCAAAGGGTTGTGGTTTCACCAGGGAAAAGTAAAACCACTTGCCCAAGTTCTGGAAGCAGAATGACTGAAGTCTGTAAAGAACTGAACTTTCCTTTTTGGGCAGCCTCTATTCCTGAACCTCCATAAGATAAGACTTCTAAGCCAAGGTCCCTACTCTTAGATTTATAACACTCCAACTATTGCCAAGACCTTTGCCATTCTCTTTTCTTTTCTTTTTTTTTTTTTGGTTGGTCGTGGGGCTTGAACTCTGGGCTTGGGCGCTATCCCTGCACTCTTTCAGCTCAAGGCGAGTGCTGCTCCACCACTTGAGCCACAGCACCACTTCCAATTTTCTAGTGGTTTATTGGAGGTAAGAGTCTCACAGTCTTTCCTGCCCGGGCTGGCTTTGAACCACAATCCTCAGATCTCAGCCTCCTGAGTATCTAGGATTTCAGCCACCGGTGCCCAGCTCCATTCTCTTTTCTTAATGTATATATTATTTATGAACTTCATCAACAACTACCTTTCCAACAACTTAAAACAGATTTTAAACTTCTCAGTGTTTCAAGCTCCAGATGTTTGTTCCTAGATAGGAACACGTCTTACCTACTCACCTTTATTGTTCTTGGCCACATTTCTTGGACTTAGATACTTTCTAACAGGAAGACACACAGTGGCACATACACTACACTAATAGACCCTTTTGTTATGAACACCAAGAAGCAAAGATTAAAAGGCCAGATCCTTCAAACACAGATTACATAAACAGCAATAGATCAATTTCCTCTACAAAGATGACATTTCCATCATGTGAGAAAGTGGAGGAAAACATTTTGGTGCTTTTAATTGCATTTCACGGTAAAGTTTTATTTCTTTTATGTGTTAATCAAACCCACCTCTAGCCTAACACATAAATGGAGTTGTTGGCACCAGTCATATGGCATTTAATAAAACATCACTGAGAAGAGTATGCCAGCCAAGAAAATAAGCTGTGGCATGACACCCCCACTACCAAAACCATCATTATTGTCACCAGCATCATTGAAAATTTAGGGCTGTATTCCCCAGAGAATCAACAGGGAATGTTTCCCATAAATTCATCATACTTTTATATGGTATCTATCTCACTTTGGAGTGTATAAAACTAGTGATTTCTACATACGGTTTATTAAGAGAGAGGGAAAAATCAGAATCCAGTGAGCATGGGGATGGGATTGTAGCACAATAGCAAACCAAGTGTGTGTCTTACACTATGGCTTTGGTTCCATCCCCAGCACCACCAAAAAAATTAATACTACGGTATTAATCTTTAAATTTTATTGTAAAGGTGTATACAGAAGGGTTACAGTTACATGCTTCAGGTAATGGGTACATTTCCTTTTAAACAGTGTCATTACCTCCCTCATTCTTTCCCTGTTTTTCCTCTCCCCACTTCCATCCCCCAAAGTTGGCAAATGTTTAATTTCTAAGTACTGGTAAAGCTTGAAAAGCTACTTGTTTGTACTACTTGATCTAATAACAAGTCATTTTCCCAGGTTAACAGAAATAAGAGGGAAACCCTTAAGAAACATAGCAAGGAAAATGCTTTGAGCTGCTCATAACTAGATGAGCTTGCCTGTTTATTTGAGCTCTTTCACTCAATAGTATTCTGAGTTCCTCCTCATTAGCAGCTGAAAGACAGCTGGACATTGAGGCTAGTTTGAGGACAGAAGACTACACAGATAGCACTGCCATATGGATGATAAATCACTGAACATCTTAGAAGAGATAATAATTTAATTAGATGCCACCAGTGTTATCTAGATGCCACTACATTTGTGCAATCAACTAGGTGTAACAGTTACCCACTATTACAAGAATAATCCGAGTTACTCGGAAGGTTGAAATCTGTAGGACTATGGTTCAAAGCCAGTGTAGGCAGAATAATCCCCAAGAGTCCACCTCCAAGTAGCGAGCAAATTGTCAGACTTAAAAACTAAGCCAAATGAGAGTTCCTGACCTAGTTTAATTGTAACTGATGAAAGAAAAAGAAATAATTAAAGAAAAAAGGGTGTGTGGACGGGGGATGGAGTGTAGTTCAAGTAGTAGAGTTTCTGCCTAGCAATCACAAGATCTTGAGTTCCAATCACAATTCTCCCAGAAGAAATCAAATAAAACTGAAAGAATTATTTCTTGGAAAAATCTTGTCATACTGGCATTCAAGGAAGTAACACCACAAGCAACAGTAAAGGCTCTATAAACATTCTACATTTCTTAAATAGTCTCTGTATGTTTAACTTCAGAAGGCGATCAGAAAGCGCTCAGAAAAAAAATGATAGAAATGAAAGAGTCATTATTTGGTGCTTAATAACTTCATTTGATTGCACTTTTTATAGTGAACCTACCTCAAGTTCAAGTAGGTCAGCATCTGCAAATTGACAATGGCCTCAGGAATGACTCTGATACAATTGTGATAAAGATTAAGGATTTCCAGTGACACGAAATGGCACAATTCCATTGGAACTTCAACCAGTCTGTTTTTAGATAAATCTATGAAAAAAGGAAAACAATTGTCAATAAATGTTTAACATACTCAATATAAAGTTATAATAGCACCACTGTATTTGCACCTCTATTACTAAAGCATGGTGATTGCTATTTCTTAGCCAAATTAAAAAATACGTGAAATAAAGAAGAATGAACAAAAACATAGTTACAACTTTTTTCAGTTTCCTCATTTGTAAACCTGGCCAACAAAGGGAACTTTATACTCTATCTGAAAATTATCTCAAACTTAGTCTACCTTAGACAAGTATATGACACAGGTATTTACCCTAATTATTCATTCAATGTTGCATTCATCACAGATATCTTTCCAAACATGGTATAATCTCTTTTTATATACAAGGAACATGCCTCTTCTATCTTCTGCAAAGGGGCCATATAATAGACATTAAATATTTTATTCACTAGAATTACTTAGTACCTATTTATAATACTGAGATAAATCAAGGGTGCCTATTAAGATCCAACACTGTGTCTCTGCTTGATCACCGGTAGAGGAGAAGGCCACTGACCTAACTTGCAAACATGACAGACATGAACATTCTGCAGAGCAATGCAAAACATCTGGCAGGCATTATAGGGTCGCCATCCTAACAACAAAATGATGGTAACATCCTTCATATAAAAGTGGGAATGGCAGGCATAACCACCATGTAACATAAACCACCACTCTTGAAAACAACAATGGTAGCTCACTTCAGCCTGCACCAGGAGGGTCTCACTCAGTATGAACTGAAGATGGGCAGTAAACAATAGGTAACAGAGACCTAAGGAATCACATCATGACCAGAGTGGTAGGGAGTCAAAAGACAGGCAAGTCAATACCATAAATGAACTAAAAGTCAAAAAAAGTCGCCTTCCCTGATAGGCCTTACAACAAATAAATTCACTAATATTCAAAACAGGATGGGGAAGGGAGTATTGCAACATGGAATAATTCTGATCATACCTAAATGAATATTATTACTACCTCCATCAAAAAAGGGGAGGTGAGGTATAGTACTGATATTATGCCCTAAAGAGGTATACGAAAGAACTACATTTGAACCTTGTTTTAAATATTGACATATACCCTAACTTTCAAACTAACAAACATTTTACCTAAAATATCAATATGCTACAAATAAGTGGGGTTTACTCTATAAGTACCTCTATTTCTTCAACAATTCATGATATAAATGGAGCATAAGTGTAATACTGTATATATAAATATATATACATAAATGGAGCAGAAGTTTAATAGTGTGTGTATATATATGAAACAGAATATAAGTTTAATAATGTGGGTGCATGTATGTGTGTGTGTGTGTGTGTGTTGTATATATACATATATATAAAATCACCCCAAGAATACTAAAAAGGAATTTGGCAAAACACTATAACAGCCTTATTAGGGCATCTTTTATTTATTTAGTTAGTTAGTTAGTTAGTCAGAGGTGGGGCCTGAACTCTGGGCCTGAGCACTGTCCCTCAGATTTTCAGCTCGGGACTAGCACTCTACCCCTTGAGCCACAGCGCCACTTCTGGCTTTTTCTACTTATATGGTGCTAAGGAATGGAACCAGTGCCTCAAGCATGCAAGGCAAGCACTCTACCACTGGGCCCCTTTCCAGCCCCTAGGGCATGTTTTATATCATGAAATCAGCCATTAAACTTACAATTCTTTGAGCTTCCATGATTTTAGTGAGTGCTACTTTCATCACCATGTATCACTTTTAGAATATTTTCAAATATTTGCATTTATACAATTACCTAACTAAAAGGAGTTTATCACACACACACACACACATACACAAATTCATGCACATTAGAAAAAGAATGGATTTACTGCTAAATATTAAAAACAAGAAATGTTTCCATTAGATAACAACAATTTAAAAAAAGTTAAAAAGCAAAAAAGAGGGAAAAGTCAGCTTACAGGAAAGTGAACACAAATGGTTCATAAGCATATGAGGAAAGATCTTCCTTCTTGCCGTTGGAAGAACACACAATACAACTACACAGAATGTTGTTTTTGTTTTGGGGTGTTTTTTTTAACCTATCTCAACAGTGGAGAGAAAATATTTTCTCACACATAATGAAGACAGAATGAGGGACATGCAAATAAAGACATTTTTGCAGTCTATCAGAATTACAGGTGGGTCGAGGAGAAATGAAGAGGTATAGATCAAAGAGATAAGGTTACGGTTAAGGGGGGTGGGTGAGTAAATATAGAGGAGCACTATCCAGTTGGAACTATGGCAATATTGGAGATAATGAGTTATATACTAGAGGTCTGCTGAGAGTCTATTTTAGAAGCGCTTCTTTGACGTCAGCACGAAGGTAACTATGTGAGATGACATACATCTTCACTTGCTTGACAGTAGTTACTACCATACTGCATGTATGTATCACAAAACATCAAGTTCTACACCTAAGTGTACACAATTAACAAGAACAAATGTACATATGCTTCCACCTAGCCTACAGGTATACATGTCCAAATGACGTATTTTTTGCATAGTTTGAAACAGTATAAGAAAGCAATTTAAAGACCAAGAGAGGGCTTGTTAAATATTCATCGACTATTAATAAATATTATAATGATTCAAAGATTAAATCAACCAATAAATATTAATAGAGTATTAATTCCATCTCATGTAATAGAATAAATTAGTATCATCATCTCCTGAATACTAATACTCTACAGCTATTAAAATGAATGAAGGAGCTCCCTATGGACTGATATGGAACAACCTCCAAAATGTACTGGAATGTTATTGAAAAGCCAGGTACAGAACAGTCACTAAAGCGTCTGTGTTTCATGGTGGACAGTTACACACGATTCAACCATAAATTATTTCTAGAGAGTCATGCAAGAAACTGGTAAAGGCAGTTGGTTTTGGAAGAGTTTCGCGGTGTTAAGAAGTGAGCAGAACATACTCACTGAGAATGTTTTTTACCTACAAAGATTTCAATGCATGTTTTATCTAACTGCCTATATTACTAAACATTAGTTAAAAGGTACATGTATGCCTACATTTCTATTGTTTTTTGTTGTTGTTTTTGTCATCATGGGGCTTGAACTCTGGGCCTGAGTGCTGTCCCTCAGCTCTTCAGCTCAAGGCGAGCGCTCTACCACTTGAGCCACAGTGCTACATCTGATTTTCTAGTGGTTTATTTGAAGAGTCTCACGGACTTTCCTGCCTGGGCTGGCTTTGAACCACGATCCTCAGATCTCAGCCTCCTGAATAGCTAGGATTACAGGCGTGAGCCACCGGCGCCCGGCAGCCTACATGTCTAAATTTAAAAAGAACCTCCCCATCAGAAAAAAGTACCAGGAAATGGGTACTAGGTAAAGGTGGAAGAGTGCCATGGAAAGAAGGGTAGACAAATGAAGGGGAGAAGCAGGGAGAATGCAGTCAACAATTAATTGTGTATATCACAAAATTAAGAATAAGTGAAGGGGTGGCTTGAAGGGGGAGGGGAAGATGTTGAAGGGATGACACAGATCAGACACATCATATACATGAACTACTTTGTTTCATGGCAAACAATTCAATACATATCCTAAAAAATTAAGGAAAGTGAGGGAAGGGATGGGCTGGGGTGAGGTGAGAACATTGAAAGGAGTGACAAGGATCATAATGCACTGTTTTCATAAACTGCTGTGTTAAAGGCAACTCCTTTGTACAACTAAAGCTAGTAGTACAAAAGATGGTATTTTTTTAATCTTATTTTCCAACTAAAAGAAAAGGTTGAAGCAAGTTTTGTATCTTGAATGCTTCCGACTAAAACAGAAAGGAGACTTCCAGAAATCTCTTCACTAACTATGTGCTACTCAGCTGGAAATTTGCCCAGAAAACTCAAATGTGTTGTTTCCTTCGAGTTCCACTCAAAGAAGAAAATTCCAATGAAGTATCTTCAGAAGCAACTCAGATACCCAGTCTGCTCTTTCCATTACCATTTACAACACGGATTTTATTTGCTCGCCTCCCTTCTTATCTTCTCCTCCACAATCTCCAAGTTTGAGGGGAAAGTTCAGCATTTTTCCTTCCTGTAATTACTTCCTTGGCAGTCCGACTGCATCCCAGAGGCAGGTGCCGAGTTGAGGGCCCCTCTGAGGCTCTGGAAAGTGGAATTTTTAGTTCTGCCTACTGAAAGGAAAAGGAGGCAGGGTACTCCTGATCAAACGCTCATTTTGCCCTCTTCTGAAATTGTATCCAAACTCTTCTCTTTAAGTCTTACTTATAATTGCGCTATTCTGTATGCACTCTTTCAAGGATCCTTTTTTTCTTAAGCTTCAGCTATGCATTCCAAAAAGATAACATTCGGAGGTGCTGACGTGCAATCTGCCTTAGGCAGACGTGTATATCCACTGAGTTAGTGAGGACTTACTTGTGCCATAGCCCCCCCGTCAATCTGGGTTTGCATCACAGTTACTGCATTAGAAGAGAACATTCTGTACTGCAGAATCTACACATAGCCTAGACTCGGCATATATACAAAAAACAGTTGCCTAGCTCAGCATGATTTAAACTCAACAAAACTGAAAAAGAAAAAAAGCAAAACAAAACAAACGCTTTCTATAAGAAAGAATGGCATTGCTCCATTTGTTAGGAAGTGGAAAGACTTAGAAAAAATTCTATTAAGTGAAGTAAGCCAAGCCCAAAGAAACATAGGTCCCACGCATCGTTTCCCTTATTTGCAATAACTAGTATATATCTAGGACAAGCAGAAAAGACCAAAAGCTATGTACATATGACCATATAAGATGATGTTAAGTGAAATGAACCCCAAGATAGGGACACAAATGTCTTTTTTCTTTCTTGCTATTGCTTCTAATATATTTATAATGTACCATGTGATTTTTTTGTTGCTTTGTATGTTCCTCCCCCACAGTATAACCCCTGTTTTCATTGTATTTGATGTCAGTGCCCTGCATTTTGTATTTACACTTCTCTAATTCAGGGAGGGGAAGGGAAAAAACAAAATGCTTAAATAAGG